CGGTAAGATCACAGCATCAATGTTGCTTTAAATTGACAAATAATTTGTGTTTTCAATGTTGAAGATTTTGGATGATATTGAGTTAGAGACTTAGCTACTTTAAACATGGAATGGAAAGTTTTAAAGAAATGTACCTTCGAGTATACCCGAATCATCAGTTCTATTTGTAATGACCATGATAAATCAAATTATAGGCCAAAACTGCTGATGAATAAATCCACACATTAAAATACTTTTATGTCAGTGTATCAACCACTATAAGCGTGATGTTGCCAGCACAGCGTGTGTATTACTCACATGTCCATTTATAGTCTGCTATGTAATAGATAATGGAGGCTATGTTAAAATTTATAGATTGTCAAAAAAAGGTTTCCCTTCAAGTATCCTGCTATATATGTTTTTGATAGTTTGGAAATGTTTCCATTCTATAGTGATGAGTTATGATCAGAAGTGTTCAAGAAATATATTTGTTATTTGCGTACCTTTATGATGATTATGTTTATGGATACGGGTGTGTCATTATTGTAATATCTGATACATATGATTATTATAATTAATACACAGCTGCATCGTTTCATTCCAACGTCCACTTTCACCTTGGGTCATATCGCAGACAAGTGTTTACTGGGAAACTTGCAAGAGCCAAATGATAGGCCCGTCTCGCATAGGTAGGAGACAGCAGATCGATTAGGTGGCCTATTCGATTCTGTTCCCTTTAGGTAAAGACACAATGCCTTTTGAGTGGTAGCGTAGCGTCCAAGGTAAATTTTCACCCAAAGAAGTTGCTCCTGGTCTAAGTAATAGGGTATTGCATCATTATGTATTAATATTTATACTCCCACATTAAGAAAAAGGCAAGGCATTATAAGTAGTCCGGGGTCTGAACTGACACACAATCTAGATTCATATTAACGTGCACATGAATTGTCACATGATCAGTATACACATAGATTGATATCACTACAAAACTATATCTTTAATCTGTAAATCAATTTATGATCAGGCAGAAGATCCTGGTACTGCAACCAAGATATTTTAATCTTTATAGCAACTGTGAAATGTAAAAATTTGAGAGTTACTTTTCTATAGCATGAACAGAATGACAATTCTGCCGTCATGTCATGTCTTGTTTGGATTTAAAGAGACAGTTTGGTTATAAATCATATTTTATCTCATATAAATTATTTGACTTGTAAATTGAATACTTCTTCACCAAGTCGTGTTTGTCACTTATAATTGTCAAAATACTCTAATATTTTAAACTAGACTTGACATGAAATCTGTATTTATAATAAATTACTTAAGGATACGCAATCCCTCGAAAGTACCAGTATTTATAGGGCAGTTATTTCCAGTAAAAATATAGAAAATTTGGTATAGTAGAATCAGTATTCAGCAGCCACTCAAAAGAATTTTCATGAGTGACCTCTTACTAGAAGTGCCCTCTTTATAAAATCTCAGTGTTTGTTAGTGCTGATATCCAGTAACATTTTAAGCATAGATGCATCTAGAGTAAACATCGGTACTCGCATTGATGCATCGGTAAATTTGCTTGTCATTGAAACCTCACTATTCGAACAAATATTCTTTGACTTAAAATCTCCAGTATAAATTCAACAATATTTATCCCTTTTTGTTTAGAAAATGCATGAATTATTTTTACTTTACCCAAAAAGTTTTTGTCAAAAAAAACTATTGCAGTATTTTTCAGTGATTTTCAGGGGTTGTAACTGTGTGTAATATAATATTATTTTTTAAGTCAAACTTTACATCTTCACTGTGTAGAGGCACTGTGTTGGATCTTTTCCATACTAGGTTCAAAGATGTCAATTAATAATTGAACTCTGGCTTGTCTTCTAAAACAGTAGAACCACAGTGTTCTTTTTTATAGATAATTGAAAGATGATAGCATGTCTCGTTTCCTGTGGTGTTTATTACAAGATTGTTCAGCTAGGCATAAGGTGGAAACCTATTAAAATTCAGAATTGTGCATCAATTTTTGTATTTCCACATTTTAAAGTGGTTGTATATGTTGCATTTGTCCTTCTGTTCTTTGATTCACCCAGTTTGTAATCTCGGTGCAGGTGAGATATTTTTAAAAACCTTCTAGGTTGTATTAAATTACTCATGGACATGAACCTTGAAATTCAAAGCTGTGCATCAGTTATTAGCAGAGTTATTGCACCTGCCATCAAAACATTGTTATCATTTTACAGGACAGATTTATTTATTGAACTTGTTGAGCTTATTCAACTACCTATTGACATGAACCCTAACAGATGCATACATCACTTTTTTGCAGAGTTATTACCTTAGTCATCGAAATCTTGTAAACGCTGTGAAGGCCCGTTTTTAACTTGTTGGGATCGTTTGACTAGTAATAAGGATGAACACTATTAAAATTAAGTATTTCATATCAGTTAATTGCAGAGTTATGACCCTTGTGTCAAAAAAAATTGTCCTATTGATCAGCAGGCCATGGTTTATTGAGCATTTTATCATTAAAGTGGGGTAAGAATAGGACATGAGACCGTGGATTACAACAAAACCAAATTAAAATGTTATGGTCTATTTGTTCTTGGTTCTTTAATCAGATATCCATAGTTTAATAATGGGTGGATCTATATTACTGACTGTAATACAAATTATTTATAGTATTAGTCATGCTGAACATACACACTTGTTCATTATACAATCTTGTATGCATGCTTAATTATAGTGCTCAATTGGCAAATAATCAAAGGATATTTTTAATGTGCATTGTTATGGTATTGATGTAATGAGAAATAATAGATAAAATATTTTTAATTTGAATAGAAATATTTAAATTTGTCTACATTGCAATAAGAATATTGTAATCAAATGTTATTGCAATTTTAATAAATTTGGAAAATAACTGTTAACAATTTATTATTACTTGTAAAAAAGGACATAGTCTGTGAAGGAAAAAAAACTTTCAAAAACTATTATAGTAGGTTCCATGTCTTCCTCTTAACTGAAATAGGAACCAAATGTATATTGGAGTGGATTCTTGACAATAATACCCACTTAAGATAACAAAGTATATAAAACTATTAATATTTGTGAAAGCCATTAACTGTTTCGCCCACACAATCATCGAATTCTTTGTTTACTGAAAAATGTGATTTCACAGAAGTAGAATTTTATTTATGGCATCAAAATAAGTGGTCAGACACGGACAAAGTCTGATCGAATCTGAGACTTGTCAGGTGAAACTTCCAAACGGACTGTCATTTTGTTCATGGAAAAATTTATCAGGCTTGGTATCTATACAATATAGAAGAATATATAAAACTGGAAGTCAGTGATAAAATATAGCTTTTAAACCTATTAAAAATATTCAATCTGAAAAGAACTCTTTGACAATCTATGACTTTGGATGCTGTCAACATCAGAAGAAATTAATATCATAATGTGTTTACTGTGGACTAGATATTTCCCACAGGTAGTTATTTGTTGAAATAATAAGGGATATAAATTGTATTCTTGTACTGTGTGGGCCTTTAAGATTGCTTCATGTCAAATAGTTACCGTATAGTATTAAGGTTTTCGTGGTAAATCTATCAGGCCAGATATCTTAAATAGTTTTTAAAAGAATATTTTAAGTAAGCCAAGCTCATCTCATGACAGGAAATTAAACTGAAAATACAAAAATCAATAAATTACATAAAAAAAGTCAACTAAACTGATGCACAATATTCCACATAAAACTGACAATTTATCTTTTTTTAAAAACGATTTTACGTCATACATTTCATAACCATAGAGAAAATTTTGATTTATCAAGAAATTAACAACATTAAATGAAAGAAGAGAAAATCAGTTAAGGCCCTTTCTTAAATCAAAATAAATTGTAAAATGTCAGATTGAGTCAAGGGTACTTATAAATAACATGACTGTTATTGTTAATAATAGATGATTTCTTGTGTCTTAAATTAAATAGCAGAAGAAATGTATAATTCTATAATGGAATATTCTTCACCAAAATATCACTCTTTTTTCTTGTATTTAAATGGGTATTTTCAGTTAATTGTACCTAATTCATTAAGTACAAACAGTGTACTGGTACCTAATAAATCCTTTATTTTTCGAAAAGATTTCTTGACATTGTGATTTCCCTAAACCCACCTGGCTAACTCTCTCTGCATCCATATTAGATATTGTATATCAATATACTTCAGCCTTTGCTTGAAAATCTTCAATGTAATGGAACTTCGGAAATGTGATCTTTATTGCAACTTAACAAACTACTTGGAATGTGTATCAAAAACTAATTAATATTATTATTAAATATGGGCAAAGGTTTGAAAATATACAGGTGTCTAGATAATACTTGTCTATGAAGTTACCTGTAGGTATATACACCTGTTTACATTAATATCAGTAGGTAATGTAAACATAGATTTTTTTGTGAATTCCTTATTCATCGCGAAGATATAAAGATCTTTACATCTAATATATAGATTTATATACAGGTAGTATACATGTAGGTAATTTGTACTGTCTGATATATAACATATAAATATTAATGTGATTTGACACATTTATTGTTGTAAGTCGAGATTTCAAGTGGCCTTTCATGAGTTGATTTTGACATGAAATTTACAGCCAAAGATAAGAGGCATGTCCATGAATTTCTATAAAAATCTCCAAGGAATAGCTTAATCTATTTCCCCGAACTTATACCCTAACTTATTGTAGATTTAACATTTGTTATTTGTCAGGGAGTTAAACAGGGTTACATATTTAACCCTGTTTTATTTGTATATGTAGTTCATGTAATAATGGATTATCAAGTGATTATAACTTGCTATTTTTAAAAGGAATAATATTACATGTGATTTGGTAGTCAGGAGTGTCTAAAGTATGGGTAAAAAAGAAAGAACAGTTACTTCTAGGTTGATATATTTATTTCTCGTCATTCCATCTATTATAAGGCATTCAGTGTTAATGTGTGTGAGTGTCCAAAATCAACAAGAATTCTCCGCGTTTATTCAAACAAAAGCTCATCATTCCGAGGATTTTCTTCTGTTTAAAATGCTTGAATAAATGTTTGAAATTTTGTCTAAATAAAGTGAAATCCTGAGGCTACACTTTATTGTGTATAAAGAGCTATGATAAACACTCAGTAGCTAAAGGACATTTGGAGACAATTTTATTGAAGGGAAATCTTAAACGACCAGAAGTATAATACTTAATAGTGATTATTATCTTTATGTGTTGCCAAGTAGTCTATTTTTGATTTTCTGATTGTGTACACATTCTGACAATTTGAAACATTCTATTTCTCAATATCAGACAAGAACGAAGAAATACAATATATTAAGTGTTACAGAATTGACTGATGAGGACGGACAATAGCAACTCTTTGAGGTTTTTCGTTTGATGTGTTCATTAGAAGTTAATGAATATATGTGCTGTGTATTATGAAAATGAATCGCGTCTTGTGACATGTTGTATTGTATGACCCTAGGTCTGCCCACAATGACACATTATTAATGGAAGGAAATGACAAATCTATGGTTTGTTCATCTTCTGATGTTATTATTATTGAATCACAATTTTAGACTGCAAGATATAAAACGGAGCCATTTGTTTTTATGCATCTAGATATAAGGGTTTAAATTTAAATTCTTATGTTTCATTGTGTTTCGTCAGAAAGCTAGAATTACAAATATTGTTCTTTTTCTAATTACCAGGACTTAGAGTATAATCTTTTATTTCTCTTTGAAGTATTTACAAACAGATCTTTTTCCTGGGGGAAAAAAATGTGGTAATTGTTATTTCGGTTTTTATCCTGATTCTAGGATCAGGTTGGAATCATTATCTGGATAGTTTAAGGTGATTTGCAACATAATTCCATGGATCAATTGCTAGGAGTCCAATCCAATGGTAAATTAACTCTGGTCTTTTAATGGAAATAACTAACTGTACATTAAATCTATTTACATAACTACTTATAAACAACGTATCTGTGTTATCATATGTTATATGTAAAGTAGCAGAACATTAAAAAAACGTATTTTAATCTTCAAAAGGATTATTATTGAAATTAAGACAAGAGAGAAAATATACACATTAGAACGTGGGAGCTGAAGCTTTAAACAAAGAAATTACAAAAGCAACAGTAGGGAATCTTACATGGAGTATTATTTTTTGTCACCTGGTGAAATAAACCCCCTCAGTCTTTAGGTTGTGAAAAGAGGGGATTAACAAAATTAACTTCACTTCACTTGTCAAATAACTACAGGGATGAGCAGTGTTAGAGGTATTAACAGACTTCACAGGTGATAATACCAATATTTGGAATACGATTTACGACCAGAAATTAACCCAGTAAATTAGGAAACTCCCATATTGTAACAGTGACAGTATGCATATATCAAATCTAAAGTTAGGTAAAATGGAAACCAAGCTAAAGGACATAAAACGATCGTCATCACTAAGAATAAAGACAGACTTTTTACATTTTTTACCATGGAATAGAAGTGACAGTTATCGTGTAAAATCTAAAGATGTACGCCGTAGACCTAGTAAGTATATGTTGTCATTGATTAATCCGTCAGGTATTTTTAAATGGCATGCATGGAATGGAGTCGGGTGTCTTACCATTGTTCACCAACTAAGCTAATTAAAAAGCGCTTGCAGTGTGCTCTGGGAGAAAATTGGGCCCAGACAGTGGTGCTACAGCCTACTTTTATATTGATTTCCAACTTGTCAGGAGATCTTTAACATGCTTCAAATAACATACGCTACATAGGAATAACTAGATGCTTAATCTTGCCAGATGCTACATTGAACACTATTGCCATGGGAAAAACTTCAGGATCTTTCTTGACCAAACCCTGGACCTCCTGGTGAGTGAGCCAGCACCAAACTCACTAAGCCAATGTGTCTCAAGATTTCTTTTTTAATTTAAGCTCATTACTTACACACTATAAATTAATTTTATGTGCTAATCAGATATATTTATCAATAATATCTAAACATGATATAGAATTTCAAATTAGATATATTTAACAATAATAGTCTAAAAAATAGGATTTCAAATTAGATATGTTTAACAATAATAGTCTAAAAAATAGGATTTCAAATTAGATATATTTAACAATAATAGTCTAAACAAAATAATATAGGATGGTCTTGATAGCAATTTAATTTAATTATATTTAGAAAAGTATGGATTGGGTGTTCTGTAATAAAATTTGTATTATTGCTGTCAAAAGAAACTAGTTTATTAAATATCATGTGTTATAACTAGGACTGTCACATGAGCAATAAATAACTAAAATCCTTGCAGACAATTGTTGTCAGTTTCTTGTTTTGTGATGTATCTTTAGCAGTCACATCATTTTCATGGGATATGATCATATTTGCAGGGTCAACCTATGCCATGCTTTACATGATTTATTTTAAAGAACTAGAACATTCAGGATATTTTTACTAGAATCACTGCCTTTTTTTTAGGATTCCGTATTGGAATTTAACATAAGTTGGTAATAATACAGACTTTAATAGTATCTTAAACAAACATCTCTCCTGATCAAAGAATTGTTTATAAGGATGGGTATAGGCATGGGTGATTTAGCTTGATTGACTAGCTAACCTTATCAATGATGCATGTTGTTATAGTTTTTCCAAACAGGATTCTTTTACTAATTGAATATTTTCTTTTAAAAAAATGATATTTTAACATCGAATAAAAAATAAATGAAGTTTTGCAATTAATTTTATTTTAACAATTATGTTGTTTCTGTTGGTGCGGAAATTAGTTTTATCATCAGTTCATCTATTGGATCTGATTAACAATTGATTTTCTCCTTTAACAATTATATCAGTTGTTAACTTTTGTGTCACATTGATCAGATAAGAAAACAAAACCAGGCAAATTAGAACCAGCAGCAAAATTTTTCTTGGAATTATGTTTTCACACTGTTGTTGACTTTAGAATTCCATATGATTGTTACTTCTATCTTGCCAAAAATGTTCCCTGTGAAATTTTGACAAATAGTTATTGAGTTGCTGACCAAGGACTAAAATATTATAAAGAAAACTGATGGTTCATTGGCCTTCTTTAAAAATTTATCAAAATTGTTTCTACTTTGCAATTGATTGCCTGAGAATACACTGTGATATGAGTATGTTATTTTACATCCAAGTTGATCTTGCAGATTATATACCACACATGTTGCTATTATATACTACTATAGCTAGTACTAATACTGTATTACATCAACTTGCACCAAGGGTAATATCACCAGGCGATACGTTTCAAGTCAGTAGCTTGAAGCGTATATATGGTATTAGTGTCAGTGGCCTGTGGCACGAAGTAACAGTATATTGTCGCATACATAATATATTATATAAATGAGTGTCTCTTAGTGTAGAATTTGGAAACCCATTAAACTAATTTGTTGTGCCTAACTTTGATATCGATTATTATCTCTCCTGCAATCTCAACTTTGGGTTTACTCAATGACCTGATTTTGTTGGATAATGAAGTCAAAGTTATTAGCTGAAGTGCAATGACATGTTAATTAGATTGTTTGGTATTTTAACTGGCGTAGGTGATAGAAAATGTTTTTGATGTGGTAATTGTAGAGCCAGAAGAATTCTTCAGAGATTTGTCTATATGAAATATGATAAAAGTAATGGCACCCAAGTTGGCATGTCATTTCATTTGGCCTATATGATAAAGCGTTAAGTGGTTTGTAGGTATATATATAGAGCATTCAGATATTTATGAGCCACCTACATTATATTAAGTTGATTGTTTTATACAGAAATATATTTTATTCTCTTTATGGCACACACAGATGTGACATACGTGCATCCTTTAATAATACTGCTGACTGGAGCAATTAAAATAAAAGATGGATTTCCTGGTACAAAACATTTATAGCTTGACAATGATATTGCAGCTATTGTTTTCCAGGATTTTTTGGGGAAATTCAGATTCAACCCTAAAAAAAAGATACAATAGAATACATAAGTAGGTAAATAGGTTTTTTAAGTTCAGTAAGTGTATCTTTGATCATGTCCTACTGAAACATCGAATGAACTCAATTACTTAATGCCTAGGTCTCTAAATCATTGATCAAAAGCTTGCACACAAACATATTTATTTATTTTTGTGTCTCTCTCATGTACATTATCATCTTCAATATAAGGCTTGATCTCGCTTTAAATACGTACATCTTATCAAGGCATTCACGTAATACCCTGCATATTGCTGCACTAATTTCGATTGGGTACAAGCCCGACTTGTGAGCCTATCAGATTCCTTTCAAGGTAAAATGTCTAAATGTGATAATTGAGTTGCAAAGTTCAAGGTTCATTCAATGTCAAGGTTTCCGTGGAGGTCGCGATGTCACAACCTCTGATTGGACGCTACTGCTCACGTGTCTGCAGATAACATAGCTATAAGTTCGGGAATTGTGAAGTAAACAAGCAACGGCCAGATGTTGTGAAACTCGCAGTCGTTGCTTCAGGAACATGGTACATAATGTGCTTTAAGGAGCTATGAATAAAATTTTGAAACCATACAAGCTTATAAAAAATAACTAAAAGAAATTAAAAAAAAATTCCATCTTCAATTTCATTTAAAATAGGATCAAAGTCCAAGACATTTTAATGCGAACACTTCTTTTGTTTAAAAACAAGAAGTATTCCCATTGGAGATGGCGTTATTTGGAGGTGGCATTATATAAAAAAGAAAGAAATTAAAACAGTGCCAAGACAGACAGGAAATTGAAAAATCAGAATAATATTGACTTTAAACCCATTCATAAGCATACTCTTTCAAATTGTTGAGTAGTTTATTGAATGTAGTTGACAGTTTTGTTGGTCTGTGGTTGAGTTATTCATAGCAAGTTGACAATATTATTTTTTTGTCTGGTTTTGAAAACTTTCATAAACATACATTTACATACATATTTAGTTATTATATCTATTACTGTAAAGACGGAAGTGTTTTGCTTTTCTGACATTATACCCCCATACCCAAAGAGCAAACAACTTTTATTAGATAATGAACTTATCACAAATCTGAAGGATTTATCTTGAGGCAGTTTTATACCTGTTCAGAGCAGATATTATCTGCCTGTTTCGTAGCTGAACAAATAATAATGTATCCTCAACTAGTTTTCCAATCTGAAAAATAGAAAAATATAGGATAGATATAAGGTCATTGTTCTACATTTCCTGGAAACTTTTTCGTACTTTTGCTTGTATAATTTTGAATTATTATGATTAGCCATTATGACAGCTGGCAGCTAGCATAAACATTGGGCTGTTACTATGACGTAAATAAGCATTATAAGATGCCAGATTGAAGAATTAAGGCCAAAGTTCAGATAAAACAGAAACCTGACTTTGATGTAGGTTATTTACATACATGTTGGTGATTTTGACAGAGGAATGTTTATAATATAAACTAATCTCTATACTTGTTATAATAACTACCTTCATTACCATAAGCATTATAGAAACTTGATGAACTTTCATATTTTTAGCCTGGAATTTCACAAAAGATTTTAAAACATTTTAAAGATAAAAGCTTAGTTAGCATTGAATTTTTTTTTCAAGAATTGGCCTTCTGCATGTTCCCCCATCCTCCCAAGACATTTTCCCCTTGCAAGCTTCACAATAGTGAATAGCCTCCTGAGCTGCCCTCACTACACCCCAATCTCTTTCTTGCTCTTCAAATTCTGGCACAAACACTACTTTCAATTTTTTTTATTATGAAGAAATATCCCCTTCTATATTCTGAAGCAACAAAATGAGCACTAGGTGCACCATTGGTTTGTTTCCTTTCAGATATATTTATATTTCTTGTGACTATCAAAATATTTCTTTTATCTTGATTTAAAAATACACCAATTACCAAAGTAATTAAACAGCAGATATGTTCAGTGTCGGTTTATATTTATAACTTCTATTAGCACAATAATAAATAAGATAGTACAGGTAGTAGGAGAGGGTCACGCCAAAAACAATATTATCTTATTGCAATCTGTTCCTGTTTATAATTACATGACACCAGCTATATTTAATTGAAGGTTATCAGACATGACCAATAAAATTTGATAGGCTGCAGGGAGGACATGTGCCCCTGGTGAGAATTTATTATCTTAAATACTCCAAATTTTATTTTCCACTCAATTTGTGTTTGAAATTAGCATTTCGATAAGAATGACCTTATTTTTGTATGGCCTTGTTCCTTATTTTTAATGTCTGGAGATACTGATATTAAATTGACAGAATCATGTAATTCTTATCAAAAACACAAGACAGCCATTACATCAATTCTTGATTACAGGGCTTCAGCTCATTTTTAAGAGTGCAAGATACTCCAGATAATTGCACTTGTTTGTACCACTTTATTTTACTCTTTAACTGGCAAAATAAAACAGTAACTCGCCCAGACCCTTAAAGATAAACTGAAGAAAACAATGACCAAGTTAAAAATTACTATTCAGTTGTTTTTAGGGTTGAATTGGCTAACAGGCTCATTTGTGAAGAGCTCTAAAAAAAACATTCTTTTAATCTACAAAATTATCAACAAATTTGTAAGCTAACTTACATGGTGGGAACCGGGCTGTAATTAGATAATTAAATGAGGCTATCAACTGTAATTTCAGGATCAGCATGGAATGTGGATGAACCAAGTGATTCCTCATCGGACACACAGACCAATAAATCCGATGAGGCAGATGTGCGATTTAATGCACAGTTGTATTATACCACCCCTCCTACAGCAGTAAGTACTATTTTAGCTATTATTTCTAAAATCAATGAATTCAATATGTTTCACCGCTAGAAAACTTATCTGTCAGAAATTTAGTTGAGGAGCATGGCTGGTGCCAGACTTATTTCCATGCTAGGCAGGACCAACTACTTGCTCTATCCCCCTACTCCACAAAAATAAAATTGCCAACATCAATTGTACAAAAAATTAAAAGCATAAAACCAGAAACTGCTGCAAAATTTATTTTAGATTGGAAGAATGAATAAGTAACACATCAACCATAGATTTTTTATTATCTCAAATACATAAACTGTGATCCTAACGACTGTACTCCTCTGAGTATCAACCTTATCACTGCTTTGAAGAACTTGCTTTCCATTCAATTTGCATTTTTAAGCACCATAATTCACTATACAAATGTCTAATTAAATTATCATTTACATGATAAATATGTTTAAAGAATTAGTCAAATAGATTTGTGATTTATGTATGCTGACCAGTTTCTCTATGTTGACTTTATAACCTAATCAAGATTGATGTGTGTAATTTATTGTCTTAAGACCTGAGATCATATTAACCTTATAGTTTAAATCTAATGTGTCACAGGTGCCCTTTACCTGAGTCCTAAATGGCGTAATGGTAAGGAGATCAAAGCCTATTGACAATGTCTTATCTTGCCACATGTTGTCATGTACATACCTTACAGGGTGGAATAGAGTGACAAACTAATTAACCATACTTTTACTAAAACTACATCCCTACGTACAGCTGAAGCTGACAGTAACATTGTCCTTTACATCTAAAGCACATTTAGGTCAGTAGTAGTCGTTTAATTGCTTATATTATTTCGTTAATGAGGTATGAATCCTTGGAGAGATAACCATTTATTAAAGAAATTATACAATAATAACAGGTATGATTATCCAAATGTTATTCCTATGAAATATTCCAGTTTTTGATACACATTTCATTCAATTTCTTGAAATCAACTTATTAGTTGTACAGTGTATGATCTTTTAGAGGCATTTAGTAACTGGATAGAGCAATAAACTATAACACACTATAAGTATGTGTTATAGTTTATTGTACAGTGTACATTTAAAGGTTAATAACTCATCAATGATCGTGGTTTCCTCCAACTGCTAAAGACCCCTACGCGCAAGCGACTTATTGAAATAAAAAATTGAAACCATATGTTAGTCCTGAAATGACCTAGTTTGTGCTGCGTGGACGTTAAACCCCATTTCTCTCTCTCTCTCTCTTTCTCTCTTTCTCTATGGTCATAATTTTTAAATTTAAATCTCAATAGAATGGGTTTTTTGGTTGGTCTTTAAGCAACATTACAAATATTATTACAAAATGCTTTTTAGCCGGACAATGACATTGTATTCTGATTTGAATACCCTACTAATAAAAATTTCAAGAATACTTCCTGTTTTTTGTAAACTTTGTATAAGAAATTTAATCATTTTAATGAGGTTACTACCAGTAGGTGCAATACATAATATACAAAATGTGGTTAAAATGTTAACATAAGAAACCTCTTAAAGGTAGAGAAAATTAGATTTGTAATAAATGAAAACCTACTGTGATAATTGTGAAGCGTGCACTCATAATAACTTTACAAATAAAGAATAAAATGATATAACATGGAAAAGATGCTATTCAGCTATGTATTTTATATACCTTTACAATGAGTTAAACCAATCATGTAAACGAAAACTCTTTCCGTCTGCTCTGACAGATGTAACTTGTTGAACACATTAGGAGGCTTTAAATTTTACCTACATAATATATAAGTAAATTATTTATAAATTAAAGTAGCTTATTTAAAATTTTTACATTTAATGTTTTGATTTATTTCTGTAAATGTTTGTAATTTCGTGAATTATTAATGATTAAATATTCTGACCTAACAAATTACTAATATTGTATTTTAAGCAGAGTTAGTTGTCCTTGAGTAATTGAATATAGGAAAGATAATTTTGAAATGTCACAAGGTACAAAGAGCTTCGATTATTTCCATTTTGGTTACTAATTACTGTGATAATTAGTATAGTATTTTAAACATTTTGCCATCAGGTTAGTTTTTGGACAACCCAATCAATGTCAACTGGGGTCTTCATGGACAAGTGACTTCTGGTGGTGATGAAGTCTTAATTGATTAGGCCAACCTTGCTGTCGGCACGCATTTGTAATACTAGTAGCTAATTGGACTGCTTGCTTGTGGCAGTGTTGAAGGCAATGGACCTTTTTCCCCAAGTAAATCACTTGTAGGCACTGTTGCTAGTTATCTTGTCTAGATGGTTTGTAGGAATACCTCTAGCCTGAAGACACATTTACATATGAGACTACTACTAGCAGAAGGGCAATAACTTCATCCCAGTATTATTACATAAAACGTGATAGAGATTGTTCATCTATTAGATGAAGTTGTGATGTTCATATCAGAAACATTATATTGTGTTGTGTAGCTGATTCTGAGAGTTACATTTCATTTGTTCATTTCTACTGTCTGTGGACCTTCAGTGGGTTGCTTATTATTTACACAGTTCATTATTTTATGATTTAATCAAGTGTTGATTAAGATAACAAATAACAAGCCAACATAAGGATGTATATGAATTGAAACATTTTCTTAAACCGAATCAAAATTTTATGGTAAGTTCAGTCAGAAGTGTTAGTTATTTTGATATATGCTTTAAACTTTCAATAATTTTGTTGATTGATTCATTAATAATATTTTTTTTTTCTTTATCTTAATTAAATTTTAAAAAATTATTCTCTTTTAGAATATGGTAAAGGGACCTGAAAATGACAAACGGTGAGTTTTTTTCTTTTCTTTTTTTATTAACACATCGGGTGCACAATCACTTATATGTTAAATTACTAAGGGGTCAATCAAATTTTAATTTTACCAATTTTATCGAAAATGTTGGAATTGTCATACCTAGCAACAGTAGTTGTTTAGATGTTATTAATTGGATTATGTCATGAAGTTGATTGTTTTCTTTGTCTGGCTAATTAATACTAACAAGGTGTAATGTGAAAGGTAGAATAACCATTAATATTTGAATGTCTTAACAGTGTTCCTAATTAAATCTTTTCATGACAGATTATATAGATTTTGTGTCATTAACATGTGTGCAAAGTTTTAATTATATCCATATGGTTGCCCAAACTTAACAACATTGATAGTTATTAGATTGTATAACTATCAGACAAATAAACAAACATTCCAGTCTACTTTTTAATTCTTGTTTTACAACAAAACTGGATAAATCTAGATATTTTAATTGTTCATAAACAGGAATACAACACCGCACAATACAACAAACTAACTAGAAAATATGAGACAAACCCCATGTACACTAGTGTGATAAAACATGGACATTATGATTGAAGTATTCAGGTGTTCTATTATTCTTCCTAATATCTGCCAATGACCAGGGATTTATTCAGATGTAACAATTAAATCACTATATGCTCTAACGGTTGTATATTATAAATTCATAATAAAGATTATCCTATATATGCTCCAATGAGATAGATGAAATAAAATGGCATTTAAATGTTCTACTGTTCTGCTGAATAATTTATATTATATTAAAGAGGGATATGCCCCAATAATAGTAATGTTGGCTTAATGGAAAATTGAAAATAAATAATTTAGAAATGTTAGTCAATAGAAACTAATTTGACCAGATATGAAGTGTAATAGTCAATTAAGGTTTGTTAGATTGTTTTTATATCATAAATTTTTCAAGGCAAAATCAATTTGATACAATAAAATTGGGTTTGAGTTTTATTCTATGTATTAGTAAACATATTGTCAAAACACAAAAATTCCATTGAAGTTAGAGTTAGTCACCCATATCTGACTTGAATAGTGTATATTTTGCTGTGGAATAAAGATTTCAATAGGTTGATTTAACATGAAGAAACTCCCTATAGTTCATTTCTTATATTGTACATACTTTAGTAGTTGTATTTTTCATTGTGGGCAAATGTTCTTCACCTGTTTTGACATTATGCCAAATAAACTTGAAGATAGGATATCTTTAATATGTATAAAGCTTAAAAACAAGTCAATATTTTGTAGTAAGTTACATTTGATATCAATATCTTTATTTTATAATTCATAACTTTGTGTGACTGATTGGTTAGATATTCTAAAATGTTCAATAATCCATAACGTCTAATTTTTAAATCAAATCGAAACAATTGGCAAAAAAGATAAAAACAAAGAACTCAAGAGATGTTGAATCGATTGTTTTAGTACATTTAATAAAATTTAATGATAAAATATACAGATTGGTAAGCATTAATATTAATTTTACCTTAATTGCAAGTCTAGACATAGATTTGATTATAAGTATATAAAGGTAGAAAGGTATTTACTATAAAGATTAGCGTCACATATATAAATATTGAGGAGATTAAAGTGTTGGGTTAGACCCCCACTTTTCTAACAATAGGGGTTTGTCAGATCGAGTATATTGAATCTTTGGAAATAATAGATTGGAATTACTGGATTGTTCTAGTGTTCACTGCTAAGGTTGTTTAATTTTACAGTTTAAATATCTGTGTGACAAGAATTTGTTTTGGATAAGGTCGCGGTATAGGTAAAAGGTGTTGATTTCAGGTCATGTTTGCCATGTTGATTTAATGGGCTCAGGAACGACAAAGTTTGCTCAGTTTAAACGTTTCCATTGTGATTCAGTCAAATGACCCGTAATGTGACATTATGCGTGGTCGTTGAAACACTGATCTAAATGACTGATTCTAAATAGTGTTTTTTAAAAAGATAGGAATTGATATTCTGATCATTAGAAACTATTTAGGGAAATATATTGTTCAATGTTGAAGTTTAAATGGTAAGAATTATTCATACTTCTAATGGCATTTGTTTTTATTTTCAACATTTAGGTACATTTATACCTTTTGTATTCTTTGTAAAATTGCACTTGAAAACTTTTTTTAATCCTTATAAATAGAAGTAATATGAATAAAATAAGAGTATATGTAGAGACACGTACCAAGTGATCTGTTGTATATATTATGATAAGACAATAATACTAGTAATTAGACACAGCTAATTAAAGTTTTAAAACAGGATAGATAGTAAGGTTATTAAGTATATAAACTCCTACTCTAATTATTACTTAGTATGATTCAAAACTTCTTCCATAACTTAATCCTTTGCCTTTGTCATAGTATTATTATTATTATTACTTAGAGAACAATAAACCTACTATACTTGACTTAGATAAGTAATATGTATGTATACATGTTCATAGGTGCAGTATCATTTACTTATTGTCTCACTATGTTCAAATATCAGATACAAAGAAAAAGTCATGAAGGATACTCATGTTTTTATCTGGTAAATAGTTAATTTTGATTTACATTGAATACATATGTGGTGTTGGTTCTATGTGTGTTATATATTATTTTGTAAATTATATGTCAAGGTTTTCAAGACATAGTTGGGTTTTTTTTTTGTTTTGTCGGAATTTCAGTGATAGTTCACAGATTATTTAATATTTAATCAGTGAATCATTCCACTGATGTTTTCTTTGAAAAGTTAAATAAGTCTGGAGGGAAATGGATGTCAAAGTAATCAGCATTCTGTAAAACAAATGTGTTACTTTTGTAAACACAGGTCTAGTTTAAAAAGCTTTACATCTGATCTGTGTGACTAATTAAGTAAAGTGTTACTAATTATACTATACTGGAAAATTGTCAGTCCCAGTGAACATCTTTTATCTAGTGACCATCTGTACCTAAGGCAAGATTTACTGCTGCATATGCCAAGGTGTGTGGCATTTCCCTTTCATCTTCTACAGCCCATCATTAGTTTTTACTACAGTGCACTGATGTGATAAAAAACTAGGGGTGAAGCAAGGTTACTGTCTATTTCCATCTTTCTTTTATGATTCACCAGTATAATTGTGATCGGTATAATTGCAATGTTACATTTTTCTTAATAAAGTTGATCATACAGGACCTTTTTTTTGTGGGGGAAATATTAAATTATATTTGGAATCTTATAGTTGATGAGTCATCATAATCAAGCAAAATATTTGATTCCTGGGTACAGACTCTGTTTACCTTTAGCTAATGTTTTATTAACTACTCTTAATTAACAAAAAGCTCTTGAATTAAAATTGTGATATCTGACTACAAACATCAAAAAATCCAGTTTGATAATGAATTCATTTTGTGATGTAATTGTTTGAATATTTGAGTGAACAGCCCATGGGGAGGTAGTTTTCTAGTCTTTGATTTCACTAATGAGCTCTGACAGTAATTGGGACAACCCGGGTTGTAAAAAATCTCTATAACATGATACAGAAAAGGAAAGAAGAGATTTGTGTCATCTAAGGCATACTGTGACATGTGATTTCTATTATTGCTTTTATTAGCTATTCCGGTATTAAGGAATATGTATTAAGGAACTATACTTCTGTGGTACGCCCACAAACACAAACGTAAGAAATTGATCTAGTTTTTAATCATCTAATAACATTGCAGGTCATTACCTGAATTAGCCGATTAATTTATCGGACAATTTAAATTTATAATTTGTAAGAGGACGTCCTGATAAAGATTCCAAATCAATACAATGTCCTATGTTTTAATTGTGATCTTATATTGACATTAGGGATTCAGCTCACAACCAGAACAGCTTGTTAATAATGAGATCTGCTTAATAATTACTTCTATAAGAAAACTGAATCCGTGGGTTCTATCTATATATCGATTATATAAAAATATATGTTGGCCTGATTTCTAAGTCTGAAGGGTGACAGGTGATTAAAGACTATTACGAAGTGTTCGACTATTTATGTATTCTGTCAATGGGTCAGTGGGATGAAATCAATGTTTTGATCTTTTTTACGGAGCAAATTGGATAAAGTTTTATTTGGTATCGGGACGTTGATATTAAAAGAAGTGTTCTTTTCTTTACGTGGAGTTTGTTTTAAGATGAAAAGCATTATATATTGTTTAGTTAGTTTAGACCATTGATAGTATAGAAACATTTAGAATAAATACATCAAATTATAGGAAAACTATGGACCTATTCAGGTAAATTGCTTAAAATTCTTTTCTCTTACTTATAACATGCTACAAAGAGGAATTTCTTGAATTTTAGCTAATAAATTCCTTTATTTAACAGAGCGGAGGGACCTCGTAGTTTATACAGAATAAGTCGACATTTGTCACGAGAAAAACACAGAGTAAACACATCATCCCGACAGCGATCTGTTAGTTTGGATTGGTAGGTGAAATTTGAATTCACCAATACCTGTGTTTGCATGCTAAACTTACCTCCATTTTGCATGTTTTATATTTGAAAAATAAACTGAGTCAGTTTTTTTTGTCCTCCTTTATTTCTTTCTTTCTTGTGCTTTAAATTTGTTTTATTTTATAGAACTCAACATAATTGTGTATTTAAAGGAGCTAAATCGCTAATGTTTGGGACATAGAAATTGAAACAAATGGGTCGCAATGCATATAATAATATAATAATAATATAATATTAATGTATATGAACTGATTTACATTCAATCCTTTCCGTTTTACTCTAATATCAAATCAGTTATGTTCGCCGAAATACGCCAAAAGTCTCAATCCAATGGCAATCTCTAGCATCTGCTCTTCAGATAAGATTATGGCTTCACCGTTTGACATTAATTGTGGACTGTCTCGCCTCGTTCTTTCAGTCCCTTGTTACAAATGGCGCTGAAACGCATTATGGTACCGATTCGTGTACCAATGGTAAAATGTTTATTTTTGTCTTAAATATTGGATATCAGAAGCCCATCTTTTCCTGGTAAGATCACAACATCAGTGTTGATTTAAATTGCCAAATAATTCTGGTTTTCAATGTCGAAGACTTTCGATGATACTGAGTTAGTCTTAGCTACCTTGAGTTGTGTGTATTGTATTGCATGTGTAAATCATTGAGTTATGGACAAGTGTTTGTATATATTGATAAATGTATATTGCAAGTGTAAATCTATAAAATTGATAATTAGTGTGTAGTCCTAAATACTTTATGCATCCTTAAGTGTGTATTTGATTTGATTTGATTTTGATTTTATTGTGTAGTCCTAAATACTTTATGCATCCTTAAGTGTGTATTTGATTTTGATTTTAATTTGCTTTGTAGTATTTTGTTTCAACCAGTTTAGTATTATTACCATTGTGTTTTTTTGATTGTCGTTTTGTGGATTTTTAAAGTTATTGTGTGAAGTGTAAATTTAGAGCCTCTTTAATTAAAATTTTCCCACTTTAGTAGAATGAACATTAATTGTGTAAAGTTTTTGAATTTATTCACACAATAAATCTCAATTTTTTCTTGAAAAAGATACTAGATCACAATATCTAGAAAATTAATTTTTGAATGGATTCGAAATGAATACCAGTAAAATCATTCAAATTGGTTCCTAATTTTGTTTTTCAAAATATTTTACAGGGGTGATGGAAGATCGATAAGATTATTAAATAGCAATGAACAGAACATGGAAGTTATGCCGTCATTAACTGCATCACCAAGTGCACCTGCTCATCTAAGTAAGGGTGGGGTTAGCCCCACCCCAATCAAAGCCAAAGCATTCTCAGGTGAGTCAATTTAGTAACAAATTTCTTCAAAGGTTCGCTAAATTTACCCCAAATATTGAACAATTTGTCACATATATAAAAAAACAGACATGTTATATATTTTCTCACCAAACAAATGTTATGTTTTGCTAGACACTTGTTGTTCCTTCGATTACAATTGTTGAACTTTGTTTTTAAGTCAATATTTAACACAGCTTACATGTTTGATTTCAGTTACTCCACGCAAAAAAGGTTCAACAAGTGACCCTGATATCTCGTCACCTCTCAAAGTTGAGAAACGAAAAAGTGACAAAAGACCATCATATGATATTAATTGTAAGTTAAACTTAATCTGTATAACATTTCACTTTCTGGAGATACATATATATTTTTTGTTCATATTTAATATTTCTCCCTCGCAGAAGTTTTCAGTTTATCCAAGCTTTACTGCGTCTGCTTGCACCTATGGTGAATATGCCAGATTAGCCCCCACAGAATAAAATGTGTCAGCTTTATCTGAAAACCACATAGGTAATCTAACCTAATAATTATTGCCCTCCTGTGGTCTCTACTAATCTTACCACCTAATTGCTTAAATAAAGACAAGGTAAATCTGACACCTGACTGGTTTCAATGGCTTTTATACATTAAGCATGTTGACCCAATCAGATAGAGAAGTCCTGCCGACTTGAAATTGTTTTGTTTAATACCTGTGGCTTGGACAGTGTTTATGTTGCAATATGGACAATATTTATTGACTCTTTACTTGTTTCAAATTGAAAACAAATACCACATTTCCTGGACTTAGTCTGATATTATTATACCAGGTATTTGCTGTCTATCACAATATTAGGTTAGATTGAGAAATAGTAAAATATTGATCCTGATAAACAAAGAACACAGCTCATCTATACATATTTACTCTATAATTTGTTGAGGTTTACTCATATTAAGATCTTTGTTAAGTTAAATGTCAAATGGTAGAGTTTAATATCAGACAATTTAATATCTCACATTACATGAAAATCACTGGAGGCCAAATCAATATAACACAACTTCTTCACATGCAGACCGCACATCATCTTTGGATATCTTTAGATGCAGACATATATTTTAAAAGACATGTTTTGAATTTTCAGCTTTATTTAGTGCTGTAGAAAACCAAGATTTGGATCTTGTTAAGGATATATTAGATTCTAACACAGTTGATTTGAATAGGTGAGTGTTTTGTTTTTAATTTTGCAATTGATAGAACAGCTTTTACTGCAATAAAAATGAAAGTAGAATACAATAAAGATTTGAGTAAAACTAGGTAAGCTTTTAGCACACACTAGGTGACAAGTAATGAAAGGTTAACGTGATGAGCTATTAGGTTAAAGTACTATACCTGTCTGATTAAGACAATAGGTAATCCAGATTAAAGAAGAAAAGGTGAAACCATCCAATGTGATTGATCTTACTCTATAGTGGATTAACATCAAGATGCTAAAATGCTGAGCATGAGTAGAAGTAAATTTAAAGCAATGAATTGTCTAGTCCACCATTCACGTGTTACATCAAATTATCAGCTTGTAATATTGTATTAAAACTTGGTATATAACCATACCTAGACAGGAATTGAGTACTGGTTTCAGTTGACTCTCAAACTGTGGTGGGATGTTGTTCACTTCTGCTTCTCTGAATGCTGTAGAATTTCTATTGGATTTATTTTAAAAACAACATGGGAAATAAACTGTATGTTATCGTTTTAAGAAATACAATTAAAGTTTACCTGCCTGCATGTCAAAATTGCGTAGACAGTTAACCATACATCAAAATAAAAGGAAGAATTAAATATTTTACTTCTGAAATTTTACTGTTGGGTACATGGATTGAATTTGAAATGTTTTTATAATTTTTTTTTTCCAGTGTAAATTGTGAAAACCTAACTCCATTGGATATAGCTGTTATGACCAACAATATTCCTATGGCCAAGATGCTGTTGTATCAGGGAGCTAAAGAATGTAGCCAATGTAAGTTTTAAAGTCAAATGAATGTCAACGTCACTCACTGTTTGTCTTGTTACCCCCGTTATATAAATATTTAATACAATTGTAGGTGGTTACATAGTGGAACAATTTATTCATGAATGTTCAATGTTCAAAAGTTGTCAAAAAAGCTGTGCATGGTAACAAAAAAAGGGAATGTCGTCACTATCAAATTGATCAAAGAAAATTTTCCTCTAACCTTTACAAACAATTCAAGGAGTTTATTTGTTTTATTGTAGTTGAAAAGGGTGGTTCACGACTGAAGAGATTAGAAAGTCTCGTTCATAAGGCAGAGAAGAAGGTTGTTGATTTGACCGCCATCGTTTTGAACGGATCATCAGGAAATTCTGGCATTTCCCCAGCACAACAAAAGGTATGTACATTTAAAGCTGAACCCTAACTAATTTTTTAACCAAAACAAGACGTATGTAAGATAATGTTTTTTTAAAATAAAAGCTAACAGGTTTCTCGTCTCGTAATATTGTCTTATATTTGTTACATCGTTACATTACACGTCATCGTATTTTTCAGGAAAAAGAAAAGCAATTAAACCACTGGGAATTCCGTCATCGTCTATTGAAGAGGATGAAGGCAGGATATGACCATGCAAGTAAGTCATTAAAATTGTCTATTATTAGAAAATTTCAAATTACCAAATTAAACATGTGACATTAACCTCAGTAAATTCGATATTGTTTAAATCATTTTATTTAATTTGACTGAATTGGCATAATCTTATTTTAACAAAATGATGATATTTGTATTTCCAGAGCCTCCTGACTGTCCAACTAATATATCTATATTAGTTAATAGCAGTTCTTCTATTCTAGTCCGTATATCTGAACCTCTTAATCATAATGGAGCTGTTGTTACTAAATATAAAGGTATATACTCTTTGACTATTTTGAATTTTCTTAATTAATGTTGAAAAGTATTTAATTATTGTTCATATTGTTCATGTTCTACATGACAAAGATCAAATATTAGTCAGACTAAATCGAATCATTTGTCGGACCATAGTTGAACTAAATTCATAAAGAAAAGAACCATATTAGGAATTGACATCAGCTTTTACTTTTGATGTTTAGCTTTGTCTGACAATTTCTTATTTGGCCACTTGATGATAAAGAAAATATATTTATGAATAATACTTGTATATTTTAGTTGAATGGAGTTGTTACGAAAATTTTTCCCCCTTGGCTGGTGAATCTACAGCAGAGAATATACAAGCTTTAGAATATGAAATAACTGGTTTACGGAAGGGTGTGGTTTATTTTGTACGAGTTTCAGCATGGAATATGAAAGGTTATGGTCCTTATACCACCAGTAATCCACCCTATGCTGTTCCTTCATGTAAGTTGAATACTTGACCATTTCTTCTAATTGAGTTTCTTGCTTAAAAATGATTATAATTATTGACCAGTTATAATTGTAATTATGTACTATTTTTCTCTCTTTTTGTATTAGAAGATTAGACTTACAAATTATTGACTTTGATTATTTACATGACAAATTATATAAATATGTTACATGTGTATATTTCAGGTTGGCGTGATGTAGATAATGTTCCTGCTAGATTTGATGGTAAAGTTCGATTATTACAAAAATTATTTGATCAAGTTCGACTATCTAGACCTGAACAAGCTTCAACTATCAGAGGTAAATACCTGTTTTTTGTGCTAACTTAATAACCAGTACAGCTTGATGTGTCAAGGGAGGTAACTCATTTAAAAATGAATTGCTGCAAAAAATAAAGAAATCAGTTTCCTATTATGACAATGAAATAAAAGATTTTTTTTTTTTAGTTTAAAGCAATTTTGAAATATATTGTTTGATATAGTTTTGTATTTACTTTTCTTCTGTTGCAAGCTTTTTTCCTTTAAAAAAATGATGCCTCAAGGGAGATAACTCATGAATGCTTTTTAATATTTTTTCAGATTCTGTGTGTAAAGAGCTGGACTCACCACTACAGAAGAAACGAATCAGTATTAAAAATTTATTTGTATCTGCACCTAAATTCCAGAAAGTCTTGAAAAGGTAATTTAAAATATTGAGAAATATAGATGAAGCATTTTATTTTACTAGAGATGAGATTCCATGTATATAGCACAATATTACATTATATATAATGGATAAGCTATAAGATAATTAATAAAGCTATATAAGAGTATTTAGACACCAGTGATTGTATTTTGGTATTATTGTATATTTTCTAGGGGTGTATATATGGCATGTTTATTATATAATGAAGATAGAGTTTTATTAACCTCGGAAGATCAGATACCTATTGTTGAAGTGGATGAGAATTTTTCTGGTACTTCAATTCAATCAGATCTTTACTGGATGATGAAGGTAATTACAGACTATATTTATATTTATTAGATATCACTTTTAAAAAATAAAAACACAAAAAATCTTTTCCTTTTTTCTTTGTAATGTGCACAATATGTTTGTATGTTATTGTTGTGAAAATATATTTATGAATATTTATTTTGATGTTTACAGATAGCATGTACATGGGATGATGTAAAATCTTTGAGACAGGATATGGATAAAAGTAGTAGCGCAGGAACTGTTCATTTCCGCAGTAAATTATTACAAGCAGCTGCTCTCTTACAGGTATATATAAATCAAAGCCTTCATTCAATAAAATTATAAAGGATTCAATATTATTCTTTATCCTAAATTTGTATATTATGATAATAATATTTTTTGACAGAAATAAGATATTTAAAATTTGTCTTTTCAGAATTCTCTAGGAATACAAGATGTTGGCCAGTTCAATTATATTCCACTGAAAGATGCTAATGGTAGTATTGTATTAACTATTGTCAACTATGTCCGTGATACTAAGTTTGTTGGTCTGGGTTCTGGTAAATGGGTGACAGTAGATAAACTAAGCAGACGACATTCATTAGCTGGATTAGATAATACTGATGCTCATAGTCAGCTTGTTAATAGCATTCCCGTAAGTAACAAACATACATTATATTCAAAATTACTTATTTACATTTTCATTGTTTATTTTGTGGTTTGCAGGCAAACAGTATTTTTATATTATGATCAGCTTACACAGAAAAATATTAACATCCAAGGGATTTTATATCAAATCACTGAATCTTAAGAAGACAAAACGATTAAAAATAATAAATTTTATTTTGTTTACATTGCAGGCCATGCGTCTTTATCACCAAGTATCAACTACTTGCCTACCTAAAGGTTTATATCTAGGATATTTAAAACTCCACAGTTCTGTTGAAAATATCCGTGTTCTTGTACCAGAAACATCACCCAATACACTTCCACATTCTAAAATACGAGACTGTCCTAATGTATCAAGGTATGTTCTTTTACAATATTTTTAATTTATATTCCATGGTATATTTCATGGTATTTCTGAATTTGGAAAAGTTCTTTATCAATAATATATCCTTTCTATGGTCTGGCATACAGTATCATATTCAGTTGCAAAGTAGATTGAACCAGTAATATCTGTAGTTAATGATTTTTGAATACTTCTGTTTTTTTAGTGATGAATGGCAATGGTTACAACAGTTAAGTACTGCAGATTTTTCTCCAGATTATTCAAGCCCTCACTCACAATTCCAACAAGATATAACCAAAGCATGTAAACGACTTTTCTCATCATTAGGTAAGCAAAATAATAATACACTGTAAAAACAAGAAATGAATGCAGTTACAAAATGCAAGCAAACACCAGTTTTTGCTTTGAACAAAACTGAATTATATGTAGTTAATTTAATTATGTATCCAGTTAAGAAAAACGAAGAAAATTTCTCTGGATTTTCCGGTCTGATTTCTCTTGTCAGTGATGCAGGATGGAGGGCCTGACAAAGAACAGTGTCTAGTGATTCGGATGGCACGAAAAACTGAGGTCCTGTGTACATGTTGACTTGCACATAAAAGAACCCTTGTCAACACTGCTATCTGGGAAAAGTTGCCCTCATAGCATACTGCATGATGTAATCCCAGTTTAATTATCCTGGTTAGCACAGAAAAGTGGGATGTTAACAGTTATAAAATGTGTTTGTTTTTTAGGTATAAGTCAAGATTCTGGTTCAACTCATCGTTTATATAATCTAGAAGTCATTGAATTCAGTCCTAATGTGTCCTTTATTCTGGTGTTACCATCAGTAGAAGATGTTTGTATTATACCTGGTCAGACAGATAGTCTTATACAACGTAATGACTACACATTTCTTCCTGTTCAAGTCTTTGAATTAAGTAAGTATTGCATTGAAAAATAATTTATTCATTGAATGAATGTGATCACTTGTTAGACTTTCTTATTAAGCTACTGGGGCCTAGGCCTAATTTTTGAAAACTAAAATATTTCTTTGGTTGAGAATTAAAATCCTTGGAACGGTCTGAATACTTAAAAGACCCCTGAAATATTTGATTAAACAAGATTATTACAAGATAAATGCTAATGTTTTATTGTATGCATTTAGAAATGTTTGCATTAAAAGGATTACATTTTAACATTTTGGTGTTTATTTTATTATAGTTCACATGATGACATATCAGAAAGAATTCATCACCCATTATTCCAGATTATCTTCTATATTAGAAATGGATGTCAACTTGGCTCAACAATCTCAAAGAGAGGTATATATAAGTTTTCGATCTAATTATGATATAAATAATATTTTAAATCCAAGGATTGTCTGGACTCAAGGCTAGTCAGCATGCAATTAACCTAACCAAATCGACCTAGATCTGTACTTACTTCAAATTTAACATGTCGGGTATAATTTAATAAATTGACAAATCTTTTTTAAAAAAATCACCATTTGTAAAGAATGAATTTGTGTATTTTTGCAGGCCTTTTCTAATGAAGAGTTATCTGTTGCTAAGGATCAAGTGGAGGTCTCTTCTCAACATCAGATTGATTTAGAAAGCATCTGGAAAGAAGTGAGATGGGTTAAAGACATCATTTCTAATGCTCGTGATAAACAAGTTCGCGGTGGTATCCCGATTTCTACATTTTTCAATGCAGATAATGGAAACAGCACCCCGGATACTGAAAGAAATTCCCGAATATTTGACAATAATAACTCCTCCACATCAATGTCAGTATCGTGTAATTCAAATGAAATCAGTGTTGGTAAAGACAATCGTAAAATAGCCAAATTTTACGACCCAAACGAAGAAAGTAGTTCAAGTGACAATGTATTTGGTGAAGAGACCCCGAGTTTACCTCAGTCTGGAGTTTTGCGTATTTATGCTGCGTACGAGACCGGTTTTTCTAAGACTGTTAGTGTAAAGTTACATGTAACGACCCAGACTACAGCCCGTGAAGTGATAAACATGGTGGTTTCACAGTTGAATAAAGCTGTTGTTTCTCGTGGTAAAAATGGACCAATTTATTCCGAACAAGATTTTGATGACTTTTGTCTAGTTGCTGTGATAGGTGTACGAGAAAGAGTTTTGAGAGATGATTATCAGCCATTACAACTGCAGAATCCCTGGACTAAAGGAAAGCTGTATGTGAGAATGAGAAGTAATGTATTGGCGGCCATTGAACAAGGACAGGCTACCTCGGTGTGATTTGTTAAATTTATTGAATGCATTCTGTGATATGACTAAATTTGTTGAGACTGTTAGAGGTTGTTTTTATGTGATAGTGCTGAAAGAGTCTTTGACCAAAAGTCAGTTTTTGGAAAAAGACTGTTTTTGGAAAAAGACTAAGTTGTTATGGTTACTATTTATTGTGGCTATTATTTATTTATTATGAGTACAATTGTATTAAGTTTTATCTAGTGTGTATATCTACTGCCAGTAATTGTTTTAATTAGACAAATCAAATTAAAACTTGTTAATTGTGTTCGCGATCATTTGTTAAGTTATTCTTAATTCATCAAAAAACAGTATGATTAAATATCAGACTGAAATCATCAATTGTTCCATTTGCAAAACAAAATTATAAGAAACTGTGTCAGTGTTCAATATTATTTTTTCATATAGCAATAGGGGACATAACTCTGATCCACATTGACTTACATCGACAGCATTATTATTTAAAGAAACAGAACTGTAAATAAGTAGATTTTACATTTTTATACCTAAATTCGTGAAATTTCACTTGCTAAATCTAGGTATTATATTTTCACCCATCTATTCTTCTTTCATCTTTTTCTTGTCTGTCAACCTTTCTCTCCTATTTCTATATCTATCATGTAGTTAAATTATAGTAGAATTAAAAGGTCTTTCAACAACTGTATATTATATGTGATAGTATTGTCAATGTATACTGTTATTAGTTCAACAACTAATGAAATAAACAGTCAAAATGAAAAGTGTAGTTTATTATTTATATTTGTATAGGCCCACATTATAATGTGTATATAACCGCCTGGACAGTAATTCAATTCAGTTCTTTTACGCATATGCCAAGGTGTACATAACTACTTTTATTGACATGTCTGCTGTGTGCGTATGACTCATTGCATGGTAATCTATTTTTTTAGACCTCAACCTCATTGGCAGGTGTGTGTGTGTGACCGGGGGGGGGGGGGGGGGGGTATGCTTTTCTAGGTGTATATAACATTTATTGACAGTCATTGCCTGGCAACCTATTTTTCAGACCCAAACCACCTCAGTAACTAGGACATTGGAAGGTCAACATATTAAAATTTATTGCTGCACTTTCTAATTGATGTATTTGATACATAGGGTTATATTTTAGTTAAAATAAGGCCAACTCTTTTAAATTAAGTCTTGAGAATGCTTTGTGAACTCGGGGCTAGGAAGAATTTGTACATTGTAATGCATCGTGACATTTTCTTTTCATATCAAATTTATCTTTAGCCCCGTCATTTTACTAAGGCTTGTGTCTTGAGAAGTATTGTCTTGTCTAGATTTAGCTTAGTGCGGCAGATTAACGTTTAGATAAGGTCATGATATGGTCATGATTATCATTGGTGTCGTTCATGATATATTACTGGCATATTGACCTAAACATCTTTATCTTTCTATATAGGGCACTAAATATAATATATAAACATATGCCACAATCCTTTATCTTGATTAGAAAAATCAATATGTGTTACTATAGTTGGATCAGAAATGTTTATTTTGAAAATAATATGGCTTTGGAGGATACAAGTAAATTGTTCGCTCAGCCAAAATATGTGAAAGTAGCCCACAGGCATAGTAAAATGAATTGTTAAAATATGCGAGTTTCAAAGGAATTCACCTCTGTTTTCTTTAACATTTGACCTTGGGGACAGAGGGTGGGACTTCTGCCTGTGGGTGTATCTCAGAAACCACGGAATGCGCTTATATAATAAGGAAAGATTGCTCTAACAAATCTCCCTCTCTCCCCGCCGCCCCCAGGCGATTTTTCGTACAATCATGAAGTTATGGTCTGAAGTGCGAGAATATTGAAAGGAACCAAGATCTTTGGGATATAAACATGCATTCCAAGTTTCATCAAAATCGGATGAAAATTGTGACCTAGAGAGTCCACAACCTTGATATACCATATTTTTACACTGTTTGCGTTCGAGGGGCGGCCATTTTGTCCGGCAGTTTTGGCCCGATTTTCACGAAATTCGATCTCAACCGTCATTAAGGTGTAACGGTGATATATTCAAACGTTTTTTTTAAAATCGGGTAGAAATTGTGACCTTTAGAGGGTCCACAAGCTAAAAACGTGATTTTTCGTACAATCAGGGACCATAATCCAGAAAGTTGCGGTCCGATATGGGCAAATATCGAAAGGGCCCAAGATCTTTGGATTATAATTATGATACATTTTAAGCTTCATTAAAATCGGATAACAATTGTGACTTCTAGAGTGTCCACAATCTTGGTATTATGCTTTTACACTATTTGCGTACAAGTGGCGGCCATTTTGTCCGTCAGTTTGGGTCAGATTTTTACGAAATTCGAACTCAACCTTCATTAATATATTTATACGTTTTTTAAAGTTGAATACAAATTTCCACAAGCTAAACAATGCGATTTTTCGAACAAGCAAGGGCCATAATCCTGGAAGTTACTTTCGGATATGCGCGATTATCGAAAGGATCCAAGATCTTTGTGACATAAACATAAATTGAAAGTTTCATCAAAATCGGATCAAAATTGTAGCCTCTAGATGGCCCACAACCTGGATATACCATATATTTACACTCTCAAAATCAGATGAAATGTGTGACCTATAGAATGTCCACAAGCTAAAAACGTGACTTTTCGTACAATCAGGGGCCATAATCCATGAAGTTTCGACCCAGTACGTGCAAACATCGAAAGGAACCGAGATCGTTTGGAGATAAACTTATATTTCAAGTTTCGTGAAAATCGGATAAAAATTGTGACCTGTAGAGTGTCCGCAAACAAATTGGGGACGGACGGACGGACGGAGGGACCGACGGACGGACGGGCGGAGGGACCGACGGACGGACAGGGGCGACGACAATATACGTCCACATGAAAATGTGGGCGTATAAAAATGAATATAAATCCTTTATATGCATTCATAGTACATTAATGTACTTTTAGACCCAATTTCGTCTATTTTAAGGTTCAAAAGATTAGCAAACATGTAACCGGACGGGGTCGTCAATTTTCGATGAGAATATTTGTCATATTAATCATGAAACGATGCAGCAAGTGCAGAACCAGTTTCTTTTATTTTAAAGTTATAGCGTCTTTATAATTTTTTAAAAAATATACATCACTCTACGTGTGCGTGTTACAAGCTGTAAATAACTACAGAAATAGTGTAGGCTACCCTTAATAGACCATAGATGTTTTTGTCGTGTATATACCGTGACCTGTTTTTGTTGTCGTTTATAAAATGTTAACTTGACATAGTTACGGTTATTATATAAGTTAACGTTAGGTCTATTATATAAATTTTTTAGTATAACACATTTCTAGTCTGGGATATTTTCTATCAACCCCTTTTAATATAGGTCCAGCAGACCGCGCAGCAAGCCAGGGTGCTCTCTTTTGAAATTATCAGCTTCTGCATGTACATGTAGCATATGTAATCATTTCTTGGTGCAGATCGAGATCAAATGGAAATAGGAATAAAATCAAACTGAAAATAATATCAGAAAAGATGATGACCTAAACCATATTCTGAATTCCCACATATCGGGACCTCATTTCCTAGTTGCACTAATTAACAAACGGAGATTGTCTGATTCAAGTTGTCCAAAAGGTCGAGAAGAACTTTAAAAATAGGGTAGACAACAAAATGGTTATCCATCAGAAGGAAGTTAGTATTTAATTTGAATTGTAGAATAATTTTGGTGTCCAATAGGAAACAAAGAGAATAAATATATTTTAAAAAAAAAATGCTTTTGTGAAAAGCATTACCAACTCATTCATTCCACTTGTCACATTAATTCATGCTATATATCATGTCACGGTCACATGATTTAATAAATTTGTATTCATGTCATTTAAAATAGCTGTATATATGTCAAAATATTCAGTCTACCAGAAAAAAACTAAAACTGAAAACGGTATATCAACCGAACCCATCTAACAATATTACAGTGTATAACGCTTTGTAGGTTGATAAAAACAATATCCATTGAACGTGGAACAAATTTTGAGATGACTCATCAATAAAAAAAACTAAGTCAAACTTGTTTGCATGGAAATTAAAATTAAGAAATTTCAATTAGCAAAAGGCACAACCCACGTGCGTACGTAGTTTCGTTTAAACTTTGTATGTGTTAAGCCCATATTCCAGGTGGGTTTCGCAGGTTACATTATACACGCACATGGAAAACGGAAACTAGGACGGGGCCCTTTATCCAAAAGAACTCCGTTCGGAACCACAGTAAACCATAAATAAAATATCCAACTTGTGATTTGCTATTTGTATCGCCAACAACATGAATTTTGTAAGCTTAGAAATAAATGAGGATTGGTATCCGATGTTCAAGAAAGAACAAAACGCACTCTGTCTCTGTAAATTACCAACATTACAACATTTATTAAATACCAGCAATGCCTGGCTAACAAACAACATGTTTTTGTTTATCTCAATATGAATACAAATTGAGAGTACACGTTTTTTGAGTAAATTTTACACATGGCCAAACTAGTGGCTTTTGGAGAATATAACGAACGCTGCTGTTTTTATTTTACCAGATGTAAGTCAATTTTAAAGTTATCAAATTATATATATGTATATGCTTTGCAATAGTGAACATATCTCTTTAATTGTAATCTTAAAGATGCATTATGTAATAGTTAGATAAAGAACTGGTCGTGCTTGCTATAATAATTAAAAAATAGATAATATAAATGAATATGATGAAAATTATTCTGAGCTAAGTTATGAGTGTTGGAAGATGTAGAGCAGATTGTTTATTATCGTAGCAATGGTACTGGACAAACGAGGCTAAGTCGTGAATTACATGTACTAAAATTTCTTATATATCTGTCAAACAGTATGACCCTCTCATTTGCTCTAAAACTTGAGAAAACCGAATGCAGAAATGAAATGAAATGAAATGGGGTTTTAACGTCCAACTGTTCTGCTCCAAACTGGGCTAATGAAGACAGGCATACGTCATACAGTGTGCTATGAGGGAAAATTTGCCCGAACAGCGGCACTACGGCCTACTCTTATATCGAATTCAAACTGTGATTAAGTATCTTCATTTGAAAAAGTTCACGTCAAAGCAAATCTATGATGACAGCAATAAAACTTGAGGCGACAAGGTACATTAAAGCATTGGCAATGATAAAGATCCAATTTTAGTTTTTAGTTACACACTGTTAACCACCAACGGATGTTTTAATGACAATAAATCATATAATTTATTCAGCTCGACGTAAGACTTAAATATAAATATATACAGTTGGTTTAACTTGAATATTGATTTTAATTATCTATGCTGCATATATGCATATACATGTATCACTTTACAGCTGAATCATATTATATATGGTTTTAGTTAAATTCATATGGTCAACATCAAGGTGAACATGTTCTAGTGTCCCATTAGCCTATTCAGACTTGTTATCACGAATTTACTCACCCCAACCTCGCATAGTTATGAATTTTCTTGTTACACTAATTGACTAAAGAAACATTTTATATAGGAATGTATGCTTTTATAGATTGAACACTTGTTTACGATATCATTTTCGGTGGAAACGGGCACTATACCTAAAGAATGAACAAATAGCAGAGATGGGGTTTCTGTCGGCTGATCTAAATAATTTCTTTAAATACAGTAAAGCTTGAAACATGTCAGTTTTCACTCTTTAGAATGTTTTTGTAAACAAGTTTTTATTATAGTTTCCTTGACGTATTCCCAGT